GTTGATTTTGAAGATTGCAAAATTTGTTTTGAATTTCATTAATTTCACTATTATGTGGATTCATTAATTCAGGTATTTTTTCGTTTATTAAATTTCTTTCATATCTTCCTCTTGCTCGAAAAAGAGACATTTTTTTTTAAAAAAAATTTTTTAAAAAAAATAAAAAAAAGACATCTTTTTATAACAAAATTTATATTAATTAAATTAAAACACTTTCTTTTATACAAATGTAAAAGGTTAAGATTATTATTTTCATAACGTCAATTCCGGTAGACTGTTTTTTTTTTAAAAAAAAATAGTTAATTGTAAAATGGTACCATTTGAATTTTCAAAGTAGGATTAAAAAAAACAGTAGAACTTAAATTGTTAAATTTAAGCGGATCTTTATTAGTGTTCAAAAAAGACCATTTGGTTTTTTTCCAATCTTCTACGTCAACAATATCAAACGTTGTTAATTGTCCTTGTATTTCTGTTTTGCGATTTTTAGTAAAACCAATATTGACTGTTACTTGAGTAGCATTGTTATAATCTGACAAATTAAAATAAGAAACAATACCCGTTTCGTATCTTCTGTTCATGTACATTCCACAATTAGTAGCTTGATCGCATTTAATAAAGATAAGGTTGTCGGTAGTAGTAGGAAAATTAGATACAGAATTATTAAAGTTACTTATTTGCATCAAAGTACATCTTAAAAAAGCGAGTTTTCTTTTTTGAATTTTAAAATCTTGATCCATGGTATAAACCATGTTTTGATCTATTTCTATATTAAATGGATTTATTTCGTTTGTCAAACTGTATTGATCTCTTTGTAATAGCAATGTATAAGGTACAGGATTGTTTCCAATGGGTTGATACATTTTTAAAATAATATTTTTTAATGGCAAACTATTTGACCAAGAATTTATGATAGTACCGTCACTTTTTTTTTGATAAATAAGTTGACCGTTAAGCGAAGTGCAATAAAATACCAATTCGTTTTTTTAAAAAAAAAATTTTGTGTCACCCGACACTGTCCTTACTTAACCTGCCTTACCTAACTTATTTCTTTTTTCTTAGTAGGCCTACTTATTATTTTTACTCTGTTGTTTTTTTTTACAACCGGTTGTTTGTATCTTACTTACTTACTTACTTACTTAACCTTACTTACTTAGTCTATTATTTTTTTTGCCTTACTTATGCCTGCTCACCCGTTCGTACATACACGCTCGTTCACACACGCTCAGGACTCACCGAGAGTATGCTTCTCAGTGGGGTACAATCATCAAGTATCAATGATACTCAATGTGGTTCACATATAGGACTCACCGAAAGTATGAGCTCTCAGTGGGGACAATCATCAAGTATCAATGATACTCAATGTGGTTCACATATAGGACTCACCGAAAGTATGAGCTCTCAGTGGGGACAATCATCAAGTATCAATGATACTCAATGTGTTTAACATATAACTAACTAAACTATCTAGACATACGTCATCAAGCGTTCGCTCAATGTGTTTATACATATAATGTTAAAGCCGTAAAGTTATAGAGAGATTCGAACCCTGGACGATCGGTTCATGGCGGTTTACAACATAGTGCGGAAATGATACGATGCACTATGCTACGTCGACGTGTTGTTTAAGCGTGTTTTGAATTCATTTAAATTGTCATTTTAACACTTTACGTAGAGATTTTTTTCTACACAGAGATTTTTTTTAAAGTTGTTTACGCACGTTATAAGGGAAATTCCCTGAGAAATTCCCTATATAATCCTACGTAAAAAGCAAGATTAAAAGTTTCTAAATATAACTTGTTTGTTACAAAAATCTATTATTTTACTTAATCTATAAAGATTAAATATTTTTATATAAAAGCTGCATTTTTTTATATCAAACATCAAATGGCAATCACTAAAATTGTTTGTAGAAATAAAATGTGGCAAAAATCAAAACCAGAAACTATCGTCATAGAAGACGAACAAGAATTGGATTTTCATCCAATCGATTTAACGACAGATGAATTCTTTGTTACTTTGAAAGAAAAAACTCAAAATCAGTCTACGTTAGAAGTTATAGAAAAAGGATCGGCAGAACAAAACGTTCACTTACAATTTGAAAAAGTAAGATTTTTTTATAAAAAAATTATTCTTTTTAACTTGTTTTTAACATGTTAAAAAAAATAATTTTTTTTATTCATTTTAGAAAAAGAGCAAATACAAACTCAAAAGAAACAAACAACGAAAAATAAAATTTTTAACAAAAAAAATACAAGATGGACTTTTAATTTTACAGCAACAGATTTGATTAGTTTTTTTTTATTATAATAAAATATATTGTTTATTTCTTTTTTCTTTTTTTAACGCTGCATTTCTTTCGTGTTTTCGATTAACGTAAGCTTCGTTTGATATTTTCCATCGTTTAACTTTTTTACCAACGCGACCTAATTTACGGTTAGATTTGTTATCTTTATATGTTTTTTTTGTTTTTCGTAAACATACTAATATATTTTTACAATTGCTTGGTATCCCTCTATTTTCTGTTTGCGTTTGTTGCGAGTTTGTTGTAGTACGTACAAAATCAATTTGATTATTTAAATAATTATCTACAGTTTTTTTTGATCTAGGTGTATATCTTGTGCGAGGCATTTTTTTTAAATATTTTTTTTGTTGTTAAAAAAAATATATATTTATATAATATCATTTTTTTTAATTTTTTACAGATTTAAATATATAAAATAAAATGAGTGAAAATAAATTAACAAATATCTTGGCATTACATCTTGACACCTATTGGCAGCAATTTGCTAATTATTTAGACATGCATCGCTGTGTTATTGAAACCATTGACAACGATTATGATATACAATATCTTAAAATATGTCGAGTCATTACGCTATTTTTTCAAGTTAATCCAGAAGAAAAATTTAATCCGCAATTTATATTAAAAACATTACAAAAATGGTTGATTGACGAACGACAAAAAAATAATTTTAAATTAATAAACAATTTAAACGAATTAATTAATAAAGTTAAAAATTTTGTAGAAGAACCCATGGAATATTAATTTTTTTACATTGTATAACATGTTGTAATTTTTTTTAGATTAACTAAAAATAATGGAATCCATTTATGCAAAAGTTAACGAAGCCATCTACAAATATGGTAAACCTGTAATGAATACAGAATTTGTTAAACCATACGAAGCCATATTTGTGGATGGCAACTCAGTATACAATTTGAAAAACATAGACATTATAGACGAAAAAGAAGATTATGAGATGGCTGATGACGATGAATACGATGATGGCGATGAATACTATGATGGCGATGAATACGATGATGACGAATATAATGATGATGATGATGACCACAATGAACAATATAATGCAAGCGACAATGAAACCAACAACAATGATGAAAATGAACCTATGGAAATAGACAATTGACTTTTAAATTATTTTGTATTTTTTTATTTTTAATGTCCCTTTAGTTTTGAGTGTTTTAAGAAATTTATTTTCTTAAAGCAGCCAAAACTAAAGGTATAAAAAATAAAAAAAACAATGGAATAGAACTTTATTAATGTCCCTTTAGTTTTGAGTGTTTTAAGAAATTTAATTTCTCAAAGCAGCCAAAACTAAAGGTATAAATAAACAATGGAAAAACTTTTGTTTACAATTATTATGAATATGAGATTGTTTTATATATTCAATACATAAAACAATTTCGTATTCATAACATTGTAACATATTTTTACTGAGCAGATGCAATCAAATATGTCGATTTATTGCTCTCCGACCAAATATATATTGAAATTTTTTTATAACTTGTATTTTTTTTTGCTTTCAATAATAAATATTTTTTGATAATATGTTTGTCTATAATTTTTACCCGTAATATTATATAATATTACCCATAACATTTTTTAATACTATTAATACTTTTTTTAGCAACTAATTATACAAAAAAAATGGCTGAAGCTATGGAAAAAGAATTATGTTATTATTGCAAGTTACCCTTTACTATTGATCAATTACTAAATCATCAATTAAAATGTAACACATCACAAGATTATGATTGTTTTAGCTGCGGGAAAAAAATTAAATTGTCAGATACTTGGGAACATGAATGTGAAATTTATCACGAGGAACGCGTAGAAAGAAATCAAACTAAATTATGTGTATTTTGTGGAAATCAAATTCAAAAAAACTACTATGATCAACACGCTATTGATTGTTTACATCGTTTTGAAAATGAATGGAAAGAAGTAATGGAGAAACAAAAAAATATTATTATGGATCAAAAACAAAGTTTAACTTTTTTAAACATGACTACTAATAACATTCTAAACAGTTTAGAAACTGTTAACAAACAAATAAACGCAATAACCAAACGAATGGACAACATGGCTTTGGAAATGAAAGAGTTTGTGAATAAAAACACATTTGAAAAAGAAGTGAAAGATATCAATGACAAATTCATGTCTAATAATTTAATTATAGAATTGGACCAAATGGATTTAAGATTGCAATCTAACGAAGCTTATCATACTCAACCTTCTTATACTGTAGATGGTTATTTCTATCGATTTAAAATTTTTGGTTACAGTAATCAAGAAGATAAAATGGGTATTTATTTTCAATTGATACAGTCTCCAAAAGATCATTCTTTAAAATGGCCATTTATGAAAACTGTAACATGTACAGTTAAAAACGAACCTTTGTATATTGAAAACACAAAAATAATAGCCAATTATAGTGAACCGTTAAAAGAATGTTTTGAAAAACCTGCTCAAGCTTATAACCGAGCTATTGGAACAGATAGTTTTGCAACGCACGAACAATTAAAAAAATATTATATAAAAAACAATAAACTTATTATACACGTTTCTTTTATATAATTTATTATCTATTTTTTTGTATTTAATTAATCATATAATTAATAAACTTATTATACACGTTTCTTTTATATAATGTATTTTTTATATTATATTTTTTTATATAACATTATATTTTTTTTAGAATATTAAAAAAATGAACAGTGCAATCATGAGAGATATAGCTGACTACATCACTACGTCTGATGTAAAAAAAATTAAAATGTTTTTAGAAATACCTTACGGTATAAGAGAGAAAATTAAAGATGGACTAGATTTAATGGAATATCTACAATACAAAGATTTCGTGTATCAAAACTATGAATACAATACTAACGAAGCTAAAATCAAACTTATTTTAAATTTGTTAAATGAAATCGGTAGAAAAGATATCTATAAAAAGTTTATAGTTAAATTTGAAAATCCGCCATCATACGAAGAAAGTGTTAATCCTCCACCGTATGCAGTACTGGATAATCGAGACAGATCCAATATAGATTTTCCAAACTTTAAAGTAGCAGATCCATTTTTGGCAATAAACGCACAATGGAAATATACTGGAGGTATACTGGAAAATCGGAATTTTTGTGCAGAAAACGCAAAATGTAATACTCCGTATTATCCGCCTGAAGTTATTTGTTTAAAACAAAAAGAACTTTTGGACTATTATAATAAAAAATAATTTTTTTAAAAAAATTCTAACTTTTTTTTTTAATTTGTATATTTTTTTAGCAATGAAAAAAAATCAATTTAATAACATACTTAATGAATTACACGAATTTGATTTGATGAAGCAAAACAAGTTAAAAGAATGGAATTACAACTATGATCTTGTTTTCAATCTTATTACAAATGTTGAAACATGGTCCTTAGAAGATTTATGTAAAAGAAAATTAGCTTACAAAAAACTTTTGAACACTATTATACCAAATTTACAAAAACAAATTAGAGATTTATTGCATACGTTTTTATATAGAAACGAAAAATTACCCTTCCTTCATTACTATTTTAACAAAATGAATGATATTTGGTTTGATAACATTATTAACGATATTAACAATGCCAATGATAATTATAAAAAACATTATTTATTTGTTCAGAAATTAATTATTCATTATGTTTATCGATTTTTTGAACAGGTTTATATAATGTTACGTTATAAAACTAAACAAGACAAATTAATTATGTCATCTCTTTTTAATATTTAAATGCAATGTATAGATTGGTTAATTGAACAATGTAAATTTGTTTATGATCCTCATTTTAAACCTTGTTATATTTATAAATATGATTTTATTTAGAATGTTAAGAAAAAATTTACTTAGACATGCTAGAATACATTATGATTTAGAAGAATTTTTTTCAATAAAAGAAACCATGGTGAAACAATTGCAAATTAATAACTATCAAAATAGGCTTTCATGATAAATACTATCGTGAATGGACTTTGAAAGATTTATGTAAAAGAAAGTTAGCTTCTGAAAAACTACTACGAATAGTCATACCAAAGTTACGTAAACAAATTAACAATTTGATGTATTCGTTTTTTCAAAATAATCAAAATATTTTATCACTATATTCTGTTTACAAATCACACGAAGACGATTGTTTTGAATTAATTGACAGACGTGCATTAATTAGACCGTTTTATTTGAATATTCAATTATCCATTGTTGATAATATATATAAACTTTTTGTAAATATTTATTATATTAATTGTTTTTCTGCTACTAAGCATCATAAATTAGTCATGAAATCTTTTTTTAATATTTATATGGAATGTATAGATTGGTTATTTAAACAACATGAATATGTTATTAATCCTTATTTTAAACCTAATAGAAATGACATGTATGATTTTATTTAACTTTTTTTTATTTTAGAATAAAAAAAATGAAACTAATTACTGTAGATCAAGATCAAGACCTTTTATTTTTTAACAGAGAAGAATCCGATATAATGGCAAAATTTTTAAATGTTGATCATGAAAAGATTAATGATCCATCGACATTAAAAGCGTTTGGCAATATATTATTATTGGTACAAGAAGAAGTTTTAAAACAAACAAACTATTTACAAAACATTGAAAAAACAGAAGAAATAAAACGAGACTTTTATAATTTTGTAAAACAATTATTATCAAAATAAATTTTTTTTATTTTTTTTTAGATTCATAATGAAATTACAAAATTATAATTTATACGATACCAATACTCATATCAGCTTTAACCGCGAAGAATATAGAATTTTTATAGAAATAGCTATAAATCGTTATGGAAACAACAATTTTAAAGTTTTAAAAGAATTTCATCGTATTGCTGTATTGATTGACTACGAAATACGTAAAAAAACATTTAATTTTACAAACGAAGAACTTTTTTATTTAATTAATAATAATTTTAAAAATTTTGTTAAAATGTTTGTATGAAAAAAAAAAAAAAAAAAAATTTTACATTAATAAATTTTTTCATTTAATATATTGTCTCTTTCCTTTTTTATAATATGATAACATTCCAATACATCTTTTTGTAAATATAATCCTCCAACTAATCCTTTACAATAATAACACAATTGTTGAACTATTATTTTTAAACTATTTAAATAGTTTATTTTTTTATACAATTTATCTATACACGTAAAATAATAATAAAATGTTTTTAACACATCAAGACAATGTTCAATGACTTCACTATAATTATGAAAACACGTGTCGGGATAAAATACGCGATGCGGAAGGCATTTAAATAACAATTCAAGAACTTCTATCAATTTTATTTGATATGTTTTTATCGATTTTAAATCTTTAATATTAAAACCGTATACTCTTTTACAACTATCCAATTCGCTTTCTTCAGCTAAAAGAACTTTATCCATCCAAATACCTTGATTTAAATGCGTTTCCTGTAAATGTTTTTTCAAATCTAAATTGAGTTGATATAAATATAACAAACAATCGTCCGTCGCATTAAAAGACATTTTGTTAAATGAATTTTTTTTATTTACATATATACAATTTTGACATATATACAAATTATTTATATACAACAACAACAACCGCGGCACCGTTCAAATAATTCTTGAATGTACGGGCACACGGTTGTTATACAGCAGTGATTGTGCTCGCTTTGTTCGTCGCACAGGCAGCATCCTATACATAGTATACGTCTATCATTTCCATTTGGTCTCCTTGGCGTTCCAAATTCATTTAAATGTTCGTCTATCCGTCTTACAATTCTATCAAGTATTCGTACTTGGTCTAAAAAATAATTTTTTTTAACTATTATATTTTTTTTGTTGTTTTAAAAAAAATATTATGTTTATAATAAATATTAATTTACCATCGTCTATTTCAGGAAGATCGTCGAATATTTCCAATTGATCTTCATACATTTCCTCGTCTGATTCCTCAAGTGGTCTTGTTTCTACCACTTGAGGCACATATATTTGAGTTGTTTTATATTCATTTTCCGGTACATAGGGTTTAACAATCTAGAAAAAAAAACACAATCACTTAAAAAAAATACAAAACATTTTTATTTTTTAAAAAAAACAGTAAACTTACAGCTATTGGTTTGACGAATAATTGTCGTCGTACTTTTATTTTTTTGTATTCTTCAATTTTTTTTACTTTGCCCATTTTTTATATACGGATTTAGGTTTTTTCTGAATGGTTTAACAACTGCAACAGGTATAAAATTTAAATACATTTCGCTTTTTTTATATATTTTTTTTATAACGCTAGATTAACTTTAAACAAAAGAAAATAATCTTTTTTTTTTTTTTAAAATTAACAGGACTAAATATGTCATAAAATTAATTATGACGTTATTTATGACGTTATTTTTTAAGGATGGGAACGGGTTGGGAATGGACGGAGAGCTATAATCAGAGAGGGGTAGATCATCATAAATATATAAGTTTTTTTTTCAAAGTTTTTTTACAAGTCAAAAAAAAAATGAGAAGGGGACACAGACGTAATAAACGTGCAAAAAGATATATTTTTATAAACAAAAAATTAAAACCGCATACACGCATAAGTAATATGATGGGAAGAGGTTTGAGTAATATGTTTGTTAAATTAGATAGGTGGTTGTATAGAAATTTGGGTCCACCTTTGTAAATATTTTATATTTTAATAAAGTATTTTTTGGAATATATTCGAATAAAAAAAATATGAATTTTTTATTAAAGGTAAAAAACACCGTGGTGGTAACGTTTTTAGAAGATTAAGAGGTGGTTTTAGAAATCCATTCTTCATTAATCCTGTGGACAATTTATTTAAACAAATGATAAACTCTAAAAATTAAATTAGTTTAAAAGAGAATGTCATTAGATGAAGGACGTTTGTTTAAACAAATTTTTTGCAAACATGCTAATAAAAGATATCACAGAAAAGAACATTGTATCAGTTGTTATACTAACGCATACGTTAATATTATTAAAGAAGATTTAGAATTTTATAAATTATTACTTGAAGATATGGGCGAATATTCTTTAAATAACATAAGAGCCGATGTAACAAATGATGGCGAATATATATTAACTTTTAAATATTTTAATGATTATTTATGTCAAATAATAAGTGGAAATAAAAAAGAAGGACATACAGACATTTCTACTTTTTTAGGAGGATTTGTTATTGATTATAAAGTACGTTCTGGATTATATACTATTAGACATGTAAATAAAGGTGATCTTTATATCGGTTATGAATTACCTATAATAAATTAATATATTTAATACTGTTGTTTTTTTTAATTTTTTTAAAAAAAGGGTATATATAAAAGAATGAAAAAATTTTTTTTAATTTAAAAAAAATGGACGTAACTTTTTTTAAAGAATCTCTCTTACAATTTTATAATGCTAAAAAATTGGAAATTTTTCAAACAGACGATAGTTTGAAAGATGTAAATGGAAATTTCAAGTTATTTTTTCGCTTAGACGGTAGCAATCAAATAAAAGTAACTCGTTCAAACGATATAGCTAGCATTGATTTTATATATGAAGTTATAAATGAAGATGAATTGGTTGAAAAACAAAAAGTATTTAGTATGAAATATGATGATTTTGTATCAGTTATAAAGGATTCATTATCAATATGGTTGTTAGAAGAAAGCGAATAAAAAAAAGACGCACTCGTAAAGTTAAACAAAAACAACGAGCTCGTGGTTTAACAGATTATGTTACACCTCAAAATGTAACTAATGTTTTAAAAGTGGGTTCATTATTATATAGTTTAAAAAAAGCGTGGAAAGGAAAAAAATCAACGTCTTCTGTAACAACAAAAACAGTAGCAATTCAACCACCCGTTAATTTATATAAACCGGCGGATAAAAGTTTTGAAGTATATTAAAGAACAATGTTGTAAAAAAAATTATTTATTTTGAAATAAAATTATAATACAATGTTAAATTTATTTTTTTTTCTTGTGTTTTATAATATTTTGTTTTTTTTAATAAAAGTTTTTTCTTTCCTTTACAAGTATCGCATACTAGTTTATTTGTTTTTATTTCGAATTTTGCATAAGTTGGTTTATGTAGAAGCCAAACTTCATTGTTAAAAACGGTACTCGTACATTCTTTCAAGTAATTTAACGATTTCGGATCTTGTAAATTAACAATATATAATAATCCGTTTCCAGCACACGAGTCGCAATTTTCTTCTATAACTTTTTCATTAATCTTCCATAAAGCTGCTTTCTGTATACTTGTTGACATTTTATTATAATAAATTTTGAACAAAGCGAGTTTTTATTTCTTTTTTTGTCATGACATCATCTTGAGGCACGTCAATAAAATTATTTATATCTTTAAATCTTCTGTAATTAAAAAAATATGAATCGTTCATATTTTCATATTGTTTTAAAGCAAGGTTTTCTTCGTTCATAACATCTCTAATTGCATTGATATCTTGAATAGATATTTTATCCCATTGACATTCATTGTTAGTTCTTAATAATCTAGCATCGTTTAAAAAGCTTCTAATTTTGTTATTGGTCATGACTTCATTTTTAAAAATATCATTTTCTATAGGAATTTTCATTGTTTTCATTGTTACATTATTACGTACCAGACTCTCAGTTTTTCTTAAATAGAGATGAAGTTTCATGTCTTTTTCAAAAAGTTGTTTAGCAGTATCATCCAAGTGTTTAAATAATTTACTTCTAACAAAGTGAAAAAATGGAAGCAAATTTATTTGAGCTAGTTCGGAAGCATGAAGAGTCGAAACTTCATAGAAGTGATAGTTCAGTAATCTGCACAACAAAGGTAAATAAATTTGACCGTTAATAAGATAGTTTGGTAACAAGGATATAAAGTAAGCGGCAAAATCTCCGCACAAACTACTGTTTTCCCATTGAAAACAAGTTTTGTTATAAGAAAACAAAAGAGTTTGTTGACCTGTCATTGAACTATATTTTAATACAAATTTTGTAAACCAATAAAATTCATGATTATCAGCTGTCCATTCGTAAGGAAAGTGTTTAGTTTGTCGTATGTAAGAACTTATTTCAATTTCATTATAATTAATGTTCAAAGTGTTTATTTGTATGTTAGTTTGTATTTCTTCTACAGATTCAAACAAATGTCTATTACTTCTTAAAAAAGGTGGAATTTGTTTTAAACAGCTTTCAGTACCTAAACTGTCAAAACAAAAAAAATGATTATTGTCTAATTTGAGTAAAAGTCTCCAATGTTCTCCAT